TATATATATTCTATGTTTGCTTTACAAGCCTATTTGTGAAATAAGCCAGTAAGTTGCAAGAAAAAATACAACGATTACTCGGAAGTTTTTGCAAAGCTGACACGTATTCCTGAAAGTTTTCATAAAATCGCAGTAAAAGTGACAAGTAAAAATTAGAAACAATTAGTTCAGGATAAAGAAAAAGCCCTGGAATACTTGCGCCTTCATAAGGGTGGGTCATAATAACATCGAAGATTCACATCAGCAGTGCAGATAATTCTGGTGAAGTCCGTGCCGCCAATGAATTTTCAAGCTACGTCGAAAAATTCGAGGCTACTCACTACCTCGAAATTATTGCTATAGCCTCATTAATGATTGGTAGAACTTTAGTTCCGGTAGAATGGGTATCGTTGTGGTTCCGAGTACCATTCATGCTTTTGATTGGTGATATTCGGCAAGGATTGTTTTATGCCATATTGTTCAGTTTTTGGCTTATTTTTACTGGCGAACATCTCATCGACGATACGTCCAGAAATAATCTGGTAAGCTGTCAATGCTTAAGTCCTGTAAATTACGCGAATCATCGTGATTTCGCATAGTGCGTAAGTGATTCATGTTCCGTTTATCTTCTGATAAAAAAGCTAATAAAAAATCGTAAAATAGCGTCTTCGTTTATATCGTCCCTGCATTCGTCGCATAGTGCACGTTTTGCGTTTCTGCTTACGTAGCTGAAGGTTTGCAGCTGAGGATTGAAGGATCTGACGTGGCTGCGCTCGGCATTTGGGAGCATTCCAGTAAAAACACTAGTATGAGATACCCACCCTGATCGTCTAGGCGGTCTTACTTAAAAAATAAACACGAAGTTAGAAAGTGCAAAAATGCGTATCTACAGTAAGAAAGTTTTTTTTTTCGTTTCACTATTTTTCTTCTCTTCTAACGTTGCGCCCTAGCAATCCCTCGTTTTTCTATACAAATTGGCACACATACAATATTCTGATTGTTGTACATTATCCAAATTGTTGAAGCTGTTTTGAATCAGTCAAAAATCAAAACCCCCTCCGTTTTCGCTTTCCATGAGCGACTGAAGCAGTGAGCAAATAGCCAAGCGCTAGCAAGTGTCAGCAGCAACCAATAACATTCAGTAAACTCTTATTCGAAGGTTGCCTAGAAGAAGCAGGCTTATAACAGCATTGATTCGCTAACACCTGCCATTATCAATTTACCATCGAAACAGATTAACCAGTTATAGAGGGTCTGATTTTTGTTGCATCAGAATAGTTGAACCCCGAGCTTCTGCAGCAGAGCAATGATACTTCCCGATGTGTGCATGTTTCCTGGCTAAATTAGTACAGTCTAGGAAGCAAATTATTGGCAGCCAAAAATCAAAACTAACTATCGCAGCACATTTATAAATTTATCAAAAGTCAAAAGCACAAACAGAATGATTTAACTGTTTAGTAGAAACAGCACGGGGCAATATTGGAGGTATTTATTCCCGAACAGGAGGGTCTGGGTAACTGCACTCACGGTGACTGCATCTTACCAATACGGGTAGTTTCGCCTATTTCTAGAGTTCTTACTGGCGCAACTTGACGTCTGTATTAGTTGGATCGGCGTGTTTCTTAATTTATGATATGGCTGAACGTGGCATGCAGCTGGTCAATCCATTCTTCAACATATGGTCATCCGAAATGGGCTCACGATTGGCCGTAAGTTCTTATCATGACTGTTAAAATCCTCGACTTCATGTACAAAATAGAGCTAAGTGTGGCATAGTTCCTGATTTTACCGATGCATCCGGATTTTTCTAAATTTGGAAGGAAAGAAGCGGGGCAGATGAGAGAAGGGCCTGGCGAGAGAAGGAAGACGAGGGATAGCGCTGTAGTCTAATCCTCTTAACTCCTTGTTATCCCATCCCCAGCAAAATGCTAAGTTTTAAATCCCTAGCTTAGTACCACATTTGTTTCTTTTATGCTTCCTTTTTTATTTACAGCATTATTTATCCCTCTCCTGTTTGGTAAGGTACCGCATCGTGGTCTAGGTATGGCAACGTTCGAGACAAGGTTACGATGCTCAACTACTAATGAAATTTCGAAACACCTAAAGCTTTGTCAAGTACTTTTATGGAGAAAACCGTTGAGCTGGTGGTCCTTCTAAGAGGTGGAACGAATGTCAGCATAGCAACAACCTGACCAGCAGCTGGTGATGCATTGGTCAAAGCAACTGAAAAGATCATTAGTTGATATTCGGAGAGGAGCATCATGAGCTGTAGCTAGTCAAAATTTCAGAGTAAGTACAATTGCAGTATTATAATTTTGCAGTACACGTCAATTTATACAGCATCGCTGTGCGTACTCTTGTATTTTGGTTTTCTCGCTTACAAAGTATACTGTGTATGGATAACGATCAGGAGGAAACGTGCTGCACAGCTATACCGGAACAGTGAAATTCGACGACTGAAAGTATACCTTCTTTGATTTTGAAATAAAATTTTGTTTAAAAACGACAAATTATCAATATATTATCAATTCTTACTGTCGAAGACCAATTTTTATGCGGTTTTTGCAGCTATACAATGCAGAAAACGCATATTGACGAGGGGCTGTCTGTGTGTCTGTGTGTGCGTCTGTCCCGATTTTCACCTCAAGACCTATAAAAGCTGCAGGGCTGAAACTTTGGGAACTTAATCTATATGTACGTATGAGCCGCAGTCCCCAGAATGGACGCCCTTACCAGCGTGGTACCCGCGTACGGCCCTGCCAAAGCTTTTTACGGGTAAGTTCATAACTTGGGGATCTGAAAAGCCAGAAAGCTGGAATCTTAAGGGAATGTTTCCCGTCCAAGTGGGTATTAATGAGCTCATACCCAGCCCCGAGTAGGCGTGATGCCCGCGTACGACCCGCCAAAATTTTCCTCGGGTAAGTTTATAACCCGGGGAGCTAGAAGGGAAGCGTTTTCTGCCAGTTCTGGCAGCCGCTTAATTTGTTCAGCTAGAAGCATCTGCCAGAAAAACAA